TTTTTTTTTTTTTTTTTTTAATGCTTGTCTAGACATGTTTTGGGACAGTGAACTGTTTCTGTTGCTTTTCTTTCTTGTTCTGTAACTTTTTTTTAGGAAAAATATGAAAATTGGAAGCTGCATTTAAACCTCTAAACTAGCTTAAATGTAAAAGGATGTTGGTTTTAAATTTTAATTAGCGTATTAATTTACTAAATTTTTGTTTTAATCATAAGGTTTTCTATACCTGTCGGGTCGGGACATGTTGATCTATGGTAGGTAATTATTTGTTAGCTTTTCAAAAAAGAATACAAAAGATAATTAAATTATTCTACGTTATTATGAAAACCTCGAGTTTTATTGCCTTCGGAATCACTACTAGTGATGACAAAGTGAGAAAAATCAAGAGATATTTGTTGAAGGTAGAGACAATCACGTGGTTTTATCTGACTCTGTGAATGAGAAGTTTGAGCTTGATTAAAATACACGAACACTCTTTTTCAAGTGAGTAAACAGAATTATTTGGAAGTGTAGTTTTGTATAGTACTCAAGCTTTTAAAGATTTTTTTTTTTTTTAACTTTTAAAAGTTTTTTAGTTAATAACCATGACCGGTACCTACATGAAAAGTCAAGTCATTTCAATTGGTATTAGAGACCGGCTTTGAGATTTTATGGAGAGATTACATCTTAAAGTTTAGTGAGTTTCCTTGGCTAAGCATCAAAACTTCGTCAACTATAGATATGCCTTGCTATAGAGCAAGTCATCCTAATTTGAGTCGTCAATTATAACATATTTTTGCTCTATAAAATGTCTGAGTTAGCGCATGCTTCATGAAACATTGTTTGAAGTTCTTGAGGACTTCATTCATAAGCTATGTGAATCAAAACTTTGGGTAATTTCTTGTTTATGCGTTTGATTGTACGAGTAGTTGTGTACTTTGATCCAGTAGAATTACAAATACATGTGATAAAACAGTTATGGCTTCCTCGATTATAAGATGCACTTGATTGATGTGTGTGAAAAAGATCGATAGGTTGCTTCAACATTAATTCATGATATATGGAATGTAGTATACTTGACCAATCTATGTGAAGCGTGAAAAAAGGTGAGTATGTCGCTTGAACATCAATTTTTAGCTCATTATTAGGCGAATGTGCGGAATGCTCGTGAATGAATGTTCCATGGTAAATACATACATATATGAGATGGAAGTATATGACCCGTGGATTTTAGCTAAACTATGGTTTTTTTATCAATCTTATCTTGCAAAAAGAGGTTGGTACACCACCCGAAACTTAAATAAGTCGTGCATTTTACCTTTTACTTCATTGACGGTCTAAATTTTACGGAAAGATTAGAAATTTGAATCGGTTTATCAACCATATTTTTCTGAATTATTATTATTATTTGTTTGTGTATTTATTTGGTGAATGGAGACATCATTTGGACTGCATTTAAGGAAGGGGAGACATAAGAGGACAGAGACAACAAAGGTGTTGAGAGGTCCAAAGATGGGTAATGAGTATCCATAGATGGGTTTTGAGTATCCAAAGATGGTATTGAGTGTGCATGAGCACCACGTTTAAGTTGGTTCCATTTATGTCAATGTATTCACAGAGCAATAATAACTCTTTCATACAGTGTCTTTAATGCATGGTTTCAGGCCACCCTTGTGTTCTTATTACATGCATTATTTCTTTTCTGGCGTTGTCCTGCTTTCACTTCTGTCATCATCATGTCCTTTTGTAATTTCCCTTTGATTAGTGTTGAAAAGAATTATGAACAAACACCTTGTCACGGCTTGGTATGCTTTTATGAAGACTTATTTATATTTTATGTTCTTTAAATATTGCATAAACTAGGGACGCTTTGAATGAAATTTTGAAATACAATAGACATAACTGGATCATGTTTGTATAAAAACTAAATTATGAAATACAATAGACATATCTGGATCATGTTTGTATAAAAACTAAATTATGTTACCACGTAGACGAGTTGTGACACGATAAGATCGGCTCATTTTGGAGATATAGAAATACGAGAGTACAAGAATCTCCTCAAGATCGTTCAATAGGTCATGTGGACCCATTGGCAGTGGTCAATTAGGATGTGTAGACAAACCAAAACCCTAAAGGTGTCGTGGAATGTGGCGAATGTGGCCCACGATCGAAATATGTCGAAACAAACAACTAATGCATGAAGAACTTAAGGAGAGAGAGCTTTTGAATAGAGGAACCCTAAACGTCCTTCAATTCTCTTTGTTGGTATGAAAAAATCATTCACCGAGAGGAAGCACTAATTAATTTCCTATACTTTCTTCATTAGCAATCTTTCTAATTAAAACAATAAATTATTCTACTAATTCTATTAACCATTCTCCCAAATTACACCATAAGTTAATAACTTATTTTACTAACTCATGTTTATTAACTCGACATGAATGTAAAATAACTTATTTTACTAACTCATGTTTATTAAATTGGATGATAGCTTTAGATGACATTATGAGACGTCAACAAGAAAAAGAGCTTTCACTAAAACATCCAATTTTATACACATTTCCAACCCTCAAAAGAGGCAACCAAAAAAAAAAAAAAAAAAAAAAAAAAAAAAAAAAAAAAAAAAAAA